CCCTCTTTCTGCTGCCAGCTCCCCTGACTCTTCCCTGGGGACTCCTCTCTGTGTCCCTCTTCTCCCCTGCCCCTGCTGCCAGGCAGATCCCTTCTTCTTCCATACCCATCACTGCCTCCCTGCTCGGCCGGTCCCTCCATCCCCGCAGCAGTGAGAAGCCTTAATTTCTGGTACTGTGTGAGCACTCTGGGGGTGTCCCCCTCCCCCTTCAGGGGCAGCTAGAGGATGAGGGGGGAGGATATTTAGCACTGGGGCCTGGAGCTTTTCCCCCACTTCTGTACCCTATCACCCCTAAAGTTCAAATGCAAAACACTTGAAGCAGCAACTACTGTACCTGGGCCCCAATCCTGCACTCTCCCCTGGCTCCTCATATGCAAATCAAGGGCTGGTTCTGCCCCCACAGCCTGCCCCCTCCCCCTTCCCTCCCAGTCCTAGCCTGGCCCCTAACCACGCACTTTAACCTTGCTTCTTTCTTTTATCTTCTTTTGGGAGGGCAGAGCCTGTGGCCATTCCTGCCCTAGCTCTCCTTTCCTTGAACTTTGAGGCTTGTCATGAATTTTTAAGTAAATGTTTTATCCTTTAGGGGAAGAAACAAATTAATTTCCTGCCCATTTCAAAACCACAGCCCTAGTATGTCCACTGTGTTTCAGGCATGTGTTTGCATGTATATGGAGGGAGGGACCATGTTCTTCCTCCTGTGCCCCCAAGCCCATAGTTTATCTGTGCTCCCGATCTGCCTCCACCTTCCGTTATGTCCAAGAGTACCCACTGCCCCAGTCACTCCTGATCTGAAGCCAAAGATGGTAGGAGGGGCAGGGCCGACAAGGGACCGTGGCTACTCGGGACCCAGGCTTCCCCTCCAGTGTGAGGAAGAAGCTCTGACCTAGAGAGAGATGAATAGGTACTGGGGCTTGGTCCCTGCCTTCCCAGCAGGGAGGAAAGATGGGATTGAGCTAGGGGCTGCACTGGTAAGATTTCTAAAAGTCGCACCCCAAAAGCCAAACTGGGCTGGAGTGAAGAGGGGGCAGTTTTCTCTCTAAATGTAGCATTGAATTTGGCCCTGGTCCCTTTAAGTGCTCTGTCCACCCATCTCCTAGTGCAGCCTCCTGGACAGTTGGACCCACTCCTGCAGCCCAGTGTTCCCTTCCTCACACTCAATACCTCAGCCAGGGGCCAAGACACAGAACTTGAATAGAGGTCATGCCCCCTCCGCCCCAACAGTGCATCCTCGCCCAGTTTGGCTGCCATCAGTATTGTCCCCTGAGAACTGGACAGGCTTCGTTTACACAGTACAGGGTCTCCCCCTGAGGGGATCCTTCAGCCTCCCTCCCCTACCCAAGTTTGCTTTATTCACAGTCTTACCCATCTTTTAGTTGTATACCCTGAATGTCTTGCCATCCTTGTCAAGGGTGGGCTGAGGGGAGGGGGGCGTCCCAGGGACCCCCTCCCTCCCCAATGGATACCCTTAACCATACCTCATTCTGGTTTCCAGAAGCCTGGGGTGTGTCCAAGTCCTTATCTTTCCATGGTCCCTTTTGATACCCTGTCTCTGTGTCTTGCTTCTCCCAACACTCAGTTCCTAAATCATTTCAAGGCTTCCAAATGACCATTATTGATGAGAAGGATTGTGCAGCTTTTAGTTTTTATTTTTATTTTCAAAGCCAAAGGGCCTTGTGACGCCCCTCTTGCCCACCTCCCTCCACACCGTGTCCTCCCCTATATGACAATCAATGTGACCTCTCTTAAGGGCTGCAGCCCCCATCCCCAACCCTTCTGGCTCTGCAAAGCTTGCCTTCCCTTCCATTCTCTCTCCTGAAATCTTCCCATTCCACCCCCTCCTTCTCATCTTGGTGCTGGGAATTAGGTGGTGGGGGGCAAGGGGAGTGAGGAGATGGGTCCTCCAGAGAGAACTCGCGCAGTGTGAGTCGTGTTCTCCTTTTGCGACGTTTGGCGATGGCGGGAAGCATCCGAGTGTCTGTCAGGAGCCCCGTTGTCTTGCTAGATGAGATTTCTGGGGGCTGTCTGCTCCCTGCTGCCCTCAGCACACTGTCAGCAGTGCTGGGAGGTGGTGGGGAGTCCTCTATCCCTCCATATGTGGCTGTGAGGAAGCCTGGGGGACAAACAGCCTCCTCTCCTTATGCCAAAGGAAACCCCACGCCCCACCCTGGGCTCCCCAGCCCTAGTGTTTTTTGAAGCATTTTGACCATTCTCATGGCCACTGCATATTTATTTTAATGTTAAGTTTTTTTTAAACCTCTTTGACTTAAACGGGTGTGGAGAAGTAAAACAGGCAGAATGCCCCCCAATCTTCATGGGAGAGGGTGGGGAGGGAACAGCGCCTTCCCTTTGCCCTCCCCCTTCCCCCTCTCCCCACCGCAGCTCTAAAGCACTTGCTTCAAGTAATAAGCACTTTTGTGAAAAGGCCTATTTTAAGCGAGGACCCTGGGAGCAGCCCCAGGTCCCAGCAAAGGAAACAGAGCGAGGGCGACATAGGAGACAGGGAAACAGACGTGTGAATCAGAGGGTGAGATGGAAAGAGCCAGTTTTTAGTTTCTGATTTTTGGGGAGCTATTTCTGATTGGGCGGTGGCTCTGGTAGGGTCATGTACTATATCCTTCAGAAAAACGAATGGCACAAACTGTGGGTCCCAGGAAGGACCAGCAGACCCGGGTCACTGCCACTGTCCACTGAGACTGACGGGCCACCTCCCCCGCCCCGTGGCCCCCTGAGCCATAGGACTGCTGAAAACCACTGAATGTACAGCCCAGGTTGGGGTGGGGAGCAGCCCCTGGGGGAGGGGGCTTCTCCTTTTGTTTGGTGCTGTGGGGGGTGGGAGAGATGAGACTGAGGGACTGCCACCCCACGTAGACGTGTTTCTTGGGGTGGAGGGGCTGAGGAGGGCCTACCTCCCTCTCCAACCCCAGCCATGGCCCCTCTTCCTTCCTCACCCCTATCCGTTTTGACTGTAAGTCCAGCTCACCTTTGCCTTCAATATGTAACCAAAGGAAAACTCAATACTGTTTCCACCACTGTCTGCCCACCCGAGCACCTTCTTACTCCCTGGACCTAGAAGGGGAGAAGAGGCTGGGGGTGGGGTGGATGGGGCCAGAGTGAACGGTTCTACAGCTGTACCCCCAAAACCTCCTCCAGGGTCTTGGAAGGGGTCCTGAGAGGTGGGATTGGGGCCGGGCTGGCAGGGCTGAGTTTGCGCGCTGTGTATCTTATGCACGTGAGTGTTTTTGTCTGAATGACTCCAGTGACTGCTCCAGCGGGGAGGCCCCTTCCTCCTTCCCTCTCAGCCATTTCTCACCCACTTCCCATACCCAGTGTTCATCCCCTACCTCCCCTTCCCACCGCAAAGGAAAATAGCCTTACAGACCCTAGCCCAGAAACCCTACTCCTGGGGCAAACCAGTATGGGCCCCCATCCCGCCTAGTTTGAACCCTACCTTTTAAGAAGGAGGGATAAGGAACAAAGCAGCCCCTTCCCCTCTAATTGTGGTGGCTCCAGCCTTCTGCAGCCTTGACCCAGGTGGGGCAAGGGCGGAGGTGAGGAATCTTTGAGGACCAAGCCCAGCGGTCTGGGAAGTGGGAGGTAGAGAGGGAAGGGTCTGCCTTGGGGGCTCCCTCCTCCCAACCCAACCCCTAGAGAAGCGACCAAATCCCAGAGATGGGGTGAAGCTGGGGTGGGGAGGGTCTGCTCTTTGAATTACTTGAAGGTACTGACTCCAAGGCTGCTGTTGCCCACTTAGGTGTGAGGGGGACACTGTCACTGCATTTGGGAGGGCAGAGGGTGGTGGGTGACCAGAGGATCCACCTTGGCCCTCACCCACTCCTGCTAGGCCCTTTCCCTGGGGAATCTGGAAGCCTGACTTTGCCCCCAGGGAAGTTGGGGAGCGCCTTCCCTCCCTTCTCCACCCCTCACTCTGGGCACCCTCTCCAATTGCACTAAAGTAGCTGTTGTGCCAGTCTGCCCCCCCCAACAGTGGGGGAGGTCTCTGCTTCCAGTCTTCTTCCCCCGCTGCCTCCGCTCCCACCCTGGACAATCTCCTTGTTTCCCTTGTGTTCCTGGATAGCTCAGCTTTGTATGTGTGTTTGGGGGGTGGGGGTGGGTTCTGACTGGAGTGGGTTTGGCAGGGGTTTGGGAAGGGTTAGGGGAGGATGGAGGATGAAGTCTCCTGCCCCCTTCCCCAGCTCCAGGCCACAGAAGCCTGGGAAGGGAGGGTGCCTACTCTCGCTGCTGTGTGTCTTGCAGATGTGCCAAAATGGGGGTGGGTGGGATGGGAGGGTGCCTGGCAGAGCAGCCCCTGGGGTGGCTCTCTCAAAGCAATATAGTTCCCCTGCGGGGGACAGCAAGACAGGGGAGAGGGTTGGGGTGGGGACCTGGGGGTTCCCCATGTACAGCTGTGTATATTCAGGGGTGTTCTCTGTCTGGTACCCGCCGTGGGCATCTATGTGTGTGTGAACCTCCCCTTCCCCAAGCCCTGCATGACCTGTGATGCTGCAGACACCACCATCCTGTGTGCAGGTGTGTGTTGGGGGGCACGGAGGGGCATGTTCCATGTCCTGTTGCACCCTCTACCCTGTGACCCATGTACTCGGTTGTAGGAAGTAAAGAGAACTGAGCACAATTCACTGGATTCTAGTGGAATCTTTCTCTAAGCAATTTTCCCATTCCTGCCTCTCCCTGCCCCGGAACCACCTGTGGTGCTAGTGTTGGGATCAGGGGCGTTTAACGCTGGTGGGCAGCAATAAGGGGCAGATGTGCCCAGATGCCTGCATCCCCAGGGTGCCGAGGGCAGCAGGAAAAAGTGGGGACCTCGGTGCATTTGCCCCACCCCTCCCCTTCCTGGGCTAAAGCACAATGCTCTCCCCGCAGATTAATGACCCTACGCCCTCCAGGCCCCTACTCACATCCTCCCCCAACCGGCTTCGGGTCCTCCCACCACACTCTGGTTTTCTATGCTGTTTTGGTGCAAGTACAACTGTCGTAGTCATGGCTTTGGGATGGGTTCTGTTTATTAAAATCCTGTTGCTCCTACTGGCCCTGTGTCCCGCCTCCATTCCTGTGGTTGGGGGGAAAGAAGGGCAACCCGACCCCTTTCCACTGGCCCCGTCAGCCCTCAGTGGTCACGGGCAGTAGCCGCTCCTCCAGCAGGGCTATGGCAAGCATGAGGCCGCCCCCCAGCAGCAGCCCCAACCCCTGCAGGAGCACATGGGGCGTAGGCTTGGGCTCCGGAGGACGAAGCAGGGCTGGTAGCTGAAAGAAAAAGAGGATGTCAGGATTCTGGCCTTGCCCCTGACCTCTCAACACCAGAGGAAGGGTGTCAAAAAGCATCAGCAGCCCCCGCCTAAACACCTCAGTCCCTTGTTTCTCAGACTTTTGTGGGCCTGTGGTCTGATGCCCTTCCAGGAGCTAATGGTAGAGGCAGAGGGACTGCTACCTCCCTCTCCTCCACTCCCACCTCCCCACTGCCCTTGTTTTCTCCGCTCTACCCGACGTCTCTCACCATGTCCACAAGGGCCACATAGAGGAAGACCCCAGCAGTGACCCCAAACACCCAGGGAGTGAGGGGGACAGGGCCCAGGCTGAGCCCCACCCCCAGGACTGCACCCCCCAGTCCCAGGGCTCCAGACACAAGGCTCAGCAGCAGCAGCCGCCGAAAGGACAGCCCTGACTGGAGCAGCATGGCAAAGTCACCTGTTGGAGACAGAGGGACAAGATGGGAGGGAGTAAGCTGGGGTGCCCCTCATCCATGCCACCCGCCAGCCTCCAAGCTCTACCCCTTGGAGCTGTCTCCTTTCTGGAGTCCACCCTGCCCTGCTCCTGCCATTCCTACCCAGTTCATGGGGCAGCTCGTGGCAGAAGACCGCTAAGGTGGTACTGAGGCCACTGGAGAAGCCATCAGAGAAGGCAGCACCTGGGGCCAACGGGGTTGGAAGTTGTCAGTCCAGAAGAAATGTCTCCTCAGAAGCAGGCTCCTGTGTTCTGTGGTCCTCCCATCCTCTCCCCATTTTCCTCAGGGCCCTCTCCTAGCCGCAGCGGATAACTAGGAACCCTGGCCTCCCCTTGGACCTGCTTCCCTCCATTCCCACCCCTCACACCTATGGCCAGCCCATCAGTGAGGTTGTGTAGACCATCTCCCAGGAGGACCATCCACGTGATATCAGTGCCACCCTGGTGCCCATGACTGTGGCCTTGGTGCCCAGGAGGGGCTGGGGCTGGTGGGTGCTGGCTGTTCTGCTCCCTCTGGCCTTGAGCCCCTAGCTCTGCAGGAAGAACCACAGAACAGTGTTGGTGGCTGCAAGTAAGGACTGTGAGCTTCGAGCCTGCTCTTCAAATTTTCTCCTCTAGTCACCTGGAGCTGCCTGTAGGGGCTGAAGGGCCATCCCACTGCCATTCTCCGGGTCCAGGTTTCGTGTTTCGAGATCCCTTCGTTTTCGCCTGCAGCATCTCTGAAATAGGAGGGTGTCCCTCCTAGTGGAGGAGGCAGCAGAGCCAGGGACTAAGGGGAAGCCAGGCCACAAGCTGGGAAAATGAACACCTGGTTCCACCTCTGGCACCTGGGATGTTCTTTGGCCTCTACCTTCTTCCCAGGTTGGCACCTCCCCTCTGTTTCTTGTTGACTTGAGCTCAGAAGATGATGCCATTTGGCCAGAAGTCCTGGGTCTGTGCTTAAGGAGCCCCTATCCACTCCCTGTTAGCCGATAGGTCCTGCACACCAGGCAAATATCGGAGATCCAGGAGCACACACTGCTCCTCTCTTGCTTTTTGACCCAGTTCTTTTTTGTTTTTTTTTTTGAGACAGAGTCTCACTCTGTCACCTGGGCTGAAGTGCAATGGTGCCATCTTGGCTCACTGCAACCTCCACCTCCTGAGTTCAAGCAATTCTCCTGCCTCAGCCTCCTGAGTAGCTGGGATTACAGGCATGTACCACCACGCCCAGCTAATTTTTGTATTTTTAGTAGAGACAGGGTTTCACCATGTTGGTCAGGCTGGTCTCGAACTCCTAAACTTGTTATCTGCCCGCCTCGGCCTCCCAAAGTGCTGGGACTACAGGCGTGAGTCACCACGCCCAGCCTGGCCCAGTTCTTGACTGGGACTCTGGTTTCAGCAGAAGGAGGAGAAAAGGGTATCACTCACTGGCCTGAGCCCTCGGTGTCGCAAAAGCCCCAGCATGTTCTCCAGCACAAAGAGCAGGAAGAGGCCTCCGAGCACTGACAGCCCCGGGCCCAGGTCCTCCTCTGGTAGTCCACCAGGTCCTGCGTGCCGCCCTTCTTGTGCCTGACAGAGAGAAGGTCAGGGCAGACCCTGGAAGCCCCTATACCCAACAACATCCCCTTGCATGGGTGGTGGCAAGCCTTTGCTCATATGCTCTACTTGAAGGCAGCTGTGAGCTGAAGCCAGGATCCAGGAGTAGGATGTGGGAGGTGATGGAAAGTGGGAGGGGATGTCCTGTGGCTGGGGATACCTTAGATCCATGGAGGCCAGGGGTTCAAAGAAGGGGCTTCACATACATGCGGTAGCAGGTGTAGCAGTGCATCCCCACAAAGAGTGCCCACGGCCAGGGCCCCCAGGAAGCCCAGTAAGGGCCGCAGTAGACGAGGTTCCAGGAGCCGCAGCAGCAGCAGGGATAGGGGAGAAGGGAGGCTGAGCAACAGGACTGCCAGGGCACTCTGAAGCAGGGCTGGGGAGAATCAGGGGCTGAAGTTAGGCCAGGGCAGGAGGAGGGTCCCACATGTAAGGTGGGGCAGAGAGAACACTACAAGGAGAGGCAGGACCCCAGTGAGCCTCCTTTCTTGGCATGGGCCCCACTTCCAGGATTCAGGGAGCCCCCCACCCACTCCTACTTGCTGACCAGATAGTAGATCCCCTGGGGGTGCAGGGGCCGGAGCTCCGATGCAGACGCGGCTGTCGATCTGATAAAGCAGGGCTGGGCACAGCAGAGCAAACTGACGAGGAGTCAGAGGAGCAGCGGGGCTCAGGCCAAAATTGACCAGCAGCTGGGAGCCGTTCAGACACTAGGGGAGTTGAGGTTCATACATTGGAGAATCACCAGGAACTATGACTTAGATCTTTAACACTTGGCCAGGTGCAGTGGCTCACACCTGTAATCCCAGCATTTGAGAGGCCCAGGCAGGTGGATCACCTGAGGTCAGGAGTTCTAGACCAACCTGGCCAACATGTTGAAACCCTGTCTCTACTGAAAATACAAAAATTAGCTGGGGATGAGCTGGGTGCGGTGGCTCAGGCCTGTAATCCCAACACTTTGGGAGCCTGAGGCAGGTAGATTGCCTGAGCTCAGGAGTTCGAGACCAGCCTGGGCAACATGGTGAAACCCCATCTCTACTAAAGTACAAAA